CTGCATTTGCATAAATAAGACACATAATTGGTAGTTACTGTGGTACTGATCTGGTGGCACACAACATGTATACCACTGCACTGTTCTGCACCGAAGTGCGTTTTCCTGCGTGTGTGTGTGTGTTGTATAGGTTATGTGTATGTGTGTGTGTGTGTGTGTGTGTGTGTGTGTGTGTGTGTGAGGCTCCACATAATTACAGCAGTGGTGTTTAACTAGGCGCCGGCATTTGTGTTAATCAGTAGAGAGTGAAGATTGGGGGAGCTAACTGAGCTGGTGTCTCATGCGCTCTAAATGTATCACGCTAAAAACCATTATCTCTAAACCTGTAATCATCACTACAGCACTCATTCACTGCAGTGATACACTTCATGTTTATGGCTTGGGTCCACCACAACAACATGTGACTCCATCTAATGTAATCACTCCATATGGATATCCTCCGAGACCAGCCGCATGTGTTGGTAGGGAAATATTCAGTCCCTCCTCTGTTAACCTGGATCCGAGTGTCAGTGAATACAGCACATACAGACATTATAACCCTACTACTGTAAATTTCTAGATTAGGATAATACTTGATAAAAAAGGCTTTATGTTGGTTTGCAAAAGCCTGGCTTACCCTTTAACCTAAGATTTGTTTAATAATTGGGTTACATGAAAATATTCTTCCTTAAGTACCAAAAATGCATTTTCTTCCACCACCAGTGTCCGCGTTACTAAATCCCACTGAGCATCAATTTAGTGTTTTGCAGGTCAAAAGTCATATTGGGTAAAACCAGGCAAAATTTAGTTGAATATTGAATGTTTTTTTTTAGAGATCTAGGTTACATATAACTGTTTCAACAGTATTCCAGTGGCGATATTTACATGTGGTTATGAGCTGCTTTACATTGAAATTTACAGTCAATGAATCATAGAACTAGTAATTAGTATAGTGAAATTAATCATTAGTTGCAGCCCTACTAAACACGTCATATGAGAGATTGATGAGTTATTGACCTTTAAACTTCATTTCACTAAAATAACCTAATTAAAGTTGGAGTATTACAGAAGTCAGACTATCCCCTTAATTAATTTGCCTATAATCACATTATTAGTGTACATGTAAACAGACAGGCTGTGAGGCGAGATGATTACCGACGTGTTTCCACACATTGCTGTTTTCATCTTCTTCAAATGAAAACCTGCCTCTCTGCTGAAAAATCATAATATACGCCGACATTGTCATCCCTACGTTTGCCGTTCCAGCGCTCCTCCTTTTTGACTTCAAGTGTCTCTGTCGGGGTGTCTTTTTGAAAAGCACAGATGCGTATCTTGGTTGATCTTGCACGTCTTGAGCATATCAACAACAGGAAGCAGCCTGAAGGAGGAGTTGTGATTTTTGTGCCAAGGTAAAACCAAGTGGAAGTGGAGCACTACTGAGGGAGGTGAAAGGGAGGTCAAAAGTTTCAGAGCTGGTACTTACTAAGAACATAATGGTAAAATGTACTTTTCACACAGTTATCTGCCTGCCTTGTAAACTTCTACATATCTGTTTAAAGCTATGTGGTGAAAAGATGAAAACAATGCAAGATTGTTTGGAGGTCATTTGAAATTTTTTTTGATGACGTATCATCGTGTCATCATTAATTTCACTCAGCATATTCATCAGATCACAGTTGTGCATGATTATCTTTCTAAGCTACTATAACACAGAGGTCAAAAAGCCTATCTAATCCTTTTACCGTTCTGTTTGTTCACATGATTCATGTCCACATGCGTTCAAAACCTACTGTATTTACCAGTCAAAATGCAAGTGTGGCCCACTGGGAATAATGGCCCCTGAGAGCTGGCTGGGCGCATGGACAGCCTGTGGTTCTCAAGAGCTTTCCCCCCAGCGTTGAGAACAGAGCCGGGTGAGAGTTTCTCCCCCAGGTGCCTCTCTCCTGCTATTGTCTGGGCTAAGCGGGTGACGTCCAGCTACCGCCACCTGTCTGACGCGTCGTGGCCGCTTTGCACAGGAGGACATGTTCCTCATGCAGTCGAGTAAAACCCAGTGCGCTGACTGGGGCGGAATGAGCTTGTCCACCTTCGGTGGCTGCAGCGACAGTGGGGATTTTGACTCCATGAGGATCCAATTAAACCTGGGAGGGCCTCTCTGAAGGAATAATAACAATGATAAATGCACCTCTGCAGCCGGCTTAAAAGAGGCAGGGTGAGATGTTTTATTGTGCTGGCTTATCTTGACACAACTTACTCTAGGATCCTGCAGAATCAGGAGGTTTTTAAAATCTCACCTTGTGAATGTTTGTGTTTTCTAGCAGAAGCCTGGTGTCATCTTTTAAACATTCTGATGACTTGGCTTTGTGCAGTATCAAACCCTCTCTGCATGTGCTTTGAATTGGCTGGGGGATGCAGTGACTCCTGCCAAAAGCACAAATAAAGTATGTGTGTGTGCATGCAAGTTGCACGCATGATTAGTGCAGATGTGTGTGTGTGTGTGTGTGTGTGTGTGTGTGTGTGTGTGAATATGATATGGATTGGATTTTTTTGTGGGTTATCTGTAGATTTATAGTAAATGCATCATCAATCGTGGTCATTAATCCGTGGTTTAGCTCAAAATGGAAAAATATTCACTGGTTCCAGCTTCTCAAGTGTGAAGATTTGCCGCTTCTTCGTGTTATATCTTTGTAAATTAAACAATGAACAGTTTAGGGTTTTGCTCACACACACAATTAAGTGTTTTTTCTTAATCATCTCATAACAGAGAAATGTTTTATGGTTTTTAAAACTCTTTATTTGGCCTTTACTCCGTCTTAGAGAAGATTTAGTCACTTGAGACTGTAAAGTGTATTTTCCTCTGTCAGGTGGTAATTCAGAGAAAAACTCCTTTAATTAGATAACAAGCTTCTGTATTTCAGATTTGCACTTTGCCAGCAGTTTATCAATTACTGCTTGTGGTTTCATACTGCCAGTCAGTCTTTGTCTGGGCGCTCGAGCCTCCTCCTCGCCGCGCTGCAGAGCCGTGTTATTGTACTTAAACAAATCAATTCTGTTGCAGTTGAGCTTTTTTTTTTCCCTCCATCCCCCGTCATTATGAACTGTTTGCAGTGCAGAGCACATTGATTTTTCACAGCCCTGGAAAAGCTGTTGATGAATAGCACAGAGGTATCTGGGGAGAATCTGGCTTTAAAAAGGAGGCACCCAGCGTCAACCCCTCCTCCTCCTCCTTCTCCCTCCCAAACCCATTGAGCCCCCAGCTCTCTTCCACTCTCTTTTCAGAGAGCGGCACTTCCAACAGGGGAGAAATGCTGCCTGAAAAATCTTCCAATGATAAAAAAAAAAAAAAAAGGATTAAAAAAGTGCAAGGCACAAGGGACTGCCTTCTCCCACTGGATGTGAAAATACACCTTGTGGTTAGACAGTTTTTATATTTGGAGCATTAGCCTTGTCCTGTCAACCAAAGCATGAGCTCAGGAGAAGCCAGAGGAATTCTGGTAGGGGACAGAAATGGCTAACATGCTGTGTGTCACTAAGCAGACGCCTGATGAAAATGATGCTCCAACAGGATACAGCTATAAAGTTTAAGGAAGGCTTGATAAAGGAGGAGGAGGAGGAAGAGGAGGAGGAGGAGGAGGAGGAGGAGGAGGGGTGGGAAAAATCACATTTGTTACATACTTACACACTCCACATACATTCACAGAGCTAAAGCAAACAGCCTGAAGACATTTTTATTCTTTCTTTTCTTCTACCATCCCATTTAGCTCCTTGAAATTTCATGGTTCAACATTTGAGGAGTGGAAAAAAAGAGAAAAAAACTGGCTGATGCCCTCCAACGCTTTGACTCCATGAAAATTAGTGTCATGTCCTTTGAGCAAAAGAGGGAGAGTTAGTGGAAAAAATTGAGTTGAGGACAGGGACAAAGAGAAAGGCCAATAGTTTGTTTATACTCTTTAACCTGCCGAGTGGCCTGCCACCTTAAAAGATCTTTGTCTAGAAGTGCCACCTTAACCTTGACCCTTCATTCAAAGAGGGGTCTAGGACTTTAATTTAGTTGACATCGTGCTGACCCTCACACGAAGACCTGAATAATGTCTTTCAGCGTCTCAATTTGACTTCTTTTTCTTTACATTTGAGGTTTCACAGAACTACAAAATAAAGTTACAACAGTCATCCATTCATTCATTCATTCATTCATTCATTCATTCAGGTAGTGAAATAGTTATATATGTAAACATTCAAAGCATTTTATGTTTGTTTATTCTCTCTCAGATGCCAGCAGAGGCTCAGGTTTATGAAAAGGATAACGCATGCTAGAATCCAGCCTATAGTTTTTATGCTCATAATTATGTTCATAGTTACAATGATCAATTGATCAGGGAATCTGAAGTCTCATAAACATTGATACGACACGATTGTTAACTGAAAGAAAAAATAAATTTTCTTTTTATTTCAAATCATGATTTGAAATTTGTTTACATTTTGGTGCTCAGTGTTTGTATTAAGTCTTTACCAGGCTTGTATATAATTATAATGCATTCTCACACTGGTTACCACCTTTTTTGAACTGCGGTCATTTTGAAGGGTCTGAATGTCACCGGGCAAACGCACAAGCCCTGCCAGACGAGCTAAGTGCTAAACTATGGTGAAGGCCTCTCTTAATCGGCTTATCAGTCAATCAGGAGTGACTCGTGAATGTGCCATGACACTGAACTTGTGAGATGTTTATGATGCCATACTGATCATGTAAAGTATCTGCTGTTATTTATTTTTTTTTTATTTGTCCGTCATGGGCACGAGAGCATGAAGGAGCTTAACCGTGCAGGGAAGGAGTGCATCACGTTCAGCAAGGCGCAGATGGAAGCCACTCAGTGCCCAAAGGAATCAGCGAGGAGTAAAATCATTGAGTGGGCTTGATTTTCAGGGGGAAAAAAATGCAAATGTAATAATTCAGTGTTTGGAGATTGGTGGATAATGCAGCGGTGATTGATGTATTTTTCTTTCTCCCCTCTGATTTCTCTCAGGGACTGAAGAGGTGAGGCGCTGGAGTGTTTCTCCTCCTGGTGTGTGAATGGGTGGGGGGGTCTTTCGTGGTGAAGAAGAATCTACGATTGAAGTCAACACAGGTGAGTTTTTTGTTTTTTTCTTACTTGTATATGGTGGCACTTTCAGAGCCCGGCAAATATCAGGGTTAAAAGTTGTTTAAAACTATGCCTCAAATGAGAGGAACCTACAGGTTGCTGTGCTTTTTTAGGAGCAGCCAGGATGTTAGCGACAGGCTAGCAGCTGTGTTTTGGTAGCCGATGCTACATTTGGTGGCTGTTAGTTATTTGCTGTTGTAACTGTGTATGACAGGCACGTTACAGTTAAAACTATGCAGCAAAATCGGATTCGCTTTCATCTTTGGTGGTGAACTTGTGCTGTTGACGAATAGCAAGGAAAGGAGAGTCCAAAATGGAGAAAGCTATCATAGCCTGTTAGCTCTGCTTTACTTTTATTTGTACCACAAGAGAGAAATGGCTTTTAGATACTTAGATAAATCCTTTCTAAAAACTGTGATGTGAAACAAACTTATTATTAAATTAACAACCAAGCTAATGTAGCTAGCTTGGAGAGCATCAATAGCCCTTTTTAGATCTACAATCCTGAGAACAAAATACCCCCGGAGAGTAAACAGCACAGTAGAGCTACAATACAAAGAAGCTTGGAGAGCTAATGTGAGTGACTAGCACTAATCAGACTACTTAGTTTGTTTTGCAACAATCCTCAGATGAAAACTAAATTGTTTACCTTTATTTCCCATAAATTTGAGAGCAGAAATGACTAATTTGTGCACAAGAAGTAAATAATTTGAGAGCACAAAACCAATGTGGAAGAGATCCCTTTTTTTTTTTTTTGTTTAAATCCCTGAGACTTCCCAGGCTCTGTAAGGACACATCCTAATTAGCTGTAATGTCGCTTTGCCTGAAAAATTTCTGCAAAAGATGTAATGTCACAGCTGGAATCAAACAAAGCTTGTTACTGGAAACAAGATATCAGCCTCCCCTGTCACCGCAGTGATTTAAAGACCACAACTTTGTTTGCTCGGACATGCTCTGTCCTCCGCTGTGCTCCAGTGTCTTTGGTAAACATGTGATGGCAGCAGTTTGTGTGTGGCCAGGGTCGGCTCACCTCGCAGAGCTGGGTGGGGGGTGGGGGTGGGGGGGGTGGGGGGTCTGAGTAACTGCCTGCTAAGTGCTGAGATGTTGCGTCTGTTTACGTTTTGTTTTGTTTTTTTGCCGACAACCAAGATCATATGCAGAGTGAAGACACATGCGCGCGCATGTCTATGTCTATGACTATCCGCTTCACCAGCAAGCCAGTAGATCATCCTTATGCAATATGTAGCTCAGCGTACGCTCCACTAAAAGGGAGAATTATGTCGTGGAAAGGGAATGTAATTGGTTCGTCCGCTGTATTATACAATACAGCTATGGCTTCATGGATTAGGAATTGGGACATCCAGCATCCACACAAACACACACACACACACACACACACACACACTGAATAGATAAGAGTGGTTAATCTTGATTAGAGCAGTCTGAATGCTGAGGAATACGGTGCCCTGACAAACATCTGCCCGCCACACAGCTGAGTGGGATAAACCAAAGTGATTATTGTGGAAATGTCAGGCGAGGTAGACAGTGAGAGCAAGTGAAACGAGGGGAATATGACATGAACAGGGACATGACATGAGTGCTTCACAGTCAGTTCTCTCTCTCTCTTACTCTCAATGACAGATTTTTTTTTTTTCTCCTCTCACTGTCGATGTGGAGGGAAAATATAGCCGGGTTTGACGGAAAGGCTGCAGTCAAAGGAAATGGCAACAGTCTCTAATAGATAAGTGTAACCTCTGAGGTTGCTAGCCAACATACAGTCTTCCTGAAATGAAATGTGTGCAGGGCTGTAACTAATAATTATTTTTCTTTATTGATTAGGTTTTATTTAGTCTATAAAATGTTAGAAAATGGTGAACACTGCCCATCATGGGCTCGTAGAGCACAAGGGGGACACCTTCAGATCGCTTGCTTTGTCTGACCAGCAGTCCAAAACCAAAAGATATTCAGTTGACGGTGTTATAAAACAGAAAATGTTTATATTGGAGAAGCTGGACTCAGTGAATTCTGGCGGTTTTTGCAAGACAAAATTGTTGGTTGTATTGTCCTTTATTTCTTTGGGTTGCCAGGTTGGTCTTTGTCTCTGCAGCACCAGTGTAAACCCTAATGAATAATCGCTTTCCTCTGTGAAATGTGAGGGGTGCAGACATTCTGTTAACCTCTCTAAAGGAAAAAGGGAGGAGGGGAAAAAAAAAATCCCCTTCCTGTCAGTGGTCTTTCTCTTTCTCTCTGTTCTTGTGAGATCTGGAACTGATAAGTGCGAGGCCTCTGGTAACTGAACAGGAAGGATAGAGGGCCTGGCTCTGCACACATGTCCACCTCCCCTGTGCAGGAAAACAAAGAGACCAGAGCCTGCCACTTAACTTCAGGTTTCATAACATTCAAGCCTATTAGAGGGAATATTATCACTTGTTGGAGTGAACTCTTACTCTGAAGAGATTTCTGTTGAATATAATAACAGAGAGACATTTTGATAAAATAGCCCATAGCCAAATATTTTGTAGCAGCTTCACACCCGGGCACAATCACAACTCCTATGTTCCACTGACCGGTGTCGAGTCAAGTGGAAGTACTTTATTAAACAAGTGAACGGCAGAGCAGTGAGAGTTTATCATTCAACCCGAACACCCAGAGGTCTGAATGACAAGCTGTTGAACTGATAAGCGTGATGAGGCTGTTGTAGTGTCTGTGCAAGGGTGTTTCCTGAAGCAAGGTGCTTAAAGGGAAAAGAAAGCAAAAGCATATTGTAACACAGAATGAAGTGTCATACTCGAAATGAGACATTTGGAGGAGGTCCATGAACAGAGGTTGAAAGACAACACCCAACATTCAGCATGTGATTTTTTTTTGTTTTTTATTTTTATGTACAGTTTCAACAGGAATCGAACTTTGCATTATATTTACTGCATGAAGACAGGAGATCAGTAACTTCAGGGCTATTCCCCAAAGCGCAAGATATAAGGGGCTGGAAAGGAAAAATAAGACACCCCACCCCCCCACCCCCATGTGCCTTCATTTTGTCATAATTTTTATTGTGGTATTGAGTTCAATTCTGTGGAAATTAGCCCTTGCAAGATACTTTACCTTGCATTTCTGGGCCATTTTGTTGTCAGTCAGTGCGTTTTATTCCTGCAAATAACCGACTTACATGATGTGACATGATACCAGGATATTTCCAGTGCAGCTGCCACGGGGAGTGATAGGTTTATCTAAATCATCAGCACCAACAGTGAGCTCTCTTCGGTGAAGTACAAAACTATTTAAATTCCCCCAAGAATCCAAGGAAAAGGTGGTCGTCTTTTACCAGACTGAAGAACCTGTTTCTACACAAACAGTAGCTTCGGTAATTAAAGTGCAGCGCGGCTACAAGCTATGTTGCAGTTTTTCGAATGCGAGTCCTCCAAAAGATTTTCACCCCCAGCTCATTACCCGTAGCTCGATGTGACAAGATCAAATTCAGACTGCGAGAGTGTCCAAAAACATTCTCTGAAATGCAGGAATTCGCTTAACTGGATAATAATTGCACTACACTGTAGAATGAATAACACATATTGATCGTATCTCAACGGTATCCAAGGATTTCACCCTCGAAGCTTTTGTGTCAGCATGACTACTGACTCAATGGTTCATCACTGATGTGCATCAGATGAGTGTGAAGATGATTTTCCCGTACACAACTGGGTGACTAACTAGGCGTGACAAGAAAGTACTCGAGCCAGGTTGCCTCCTCGAAACTTCTAACATCTACAATCTTATGGTGGGGGGTGGGGTTTCCTCAGTGCTTATCGCTCTATGAGGATTTTCCATCTGATCCCAGCTTTGTTTTCTTCACAATACCTTTAGTTGTAAACCAGCTTTGGGAATCTTCTCGGCCATATCTTACTGAGGGCTGAGACTGTGGCGGAGATATTCCGGGATGGTATCCTTCCCATGAGAAACCGCGAGATAATGTGCCAGGGTGACAGCTGAATTATCAGCCCATTAGTCACCGAAGAGAGAACGAGGTGGATGAACATGGCATCCGTCAAGAAAGTGTCTCTTTTTTTTTTTTTTTTTTTTGCAGATAGCCTCCCCTTAACCGCCGCCCCGGAATCTTGTAGGTCTCTCCCACTGATGTATGTAGGAGCCGGAGGGCCGGGGTCAGGGAGCAGAGCTGGAGCTATCCCGGTGTTCTCTGCTGCTGCTGATGACCCTGTCCTAGGAACAGAGCAGCATAACACAGAGGCAGAACTCAGTGTACTGGACTAAAAATAGACGCGGCGTCATCCCCACTTTCCCATAGACAGACACAAATGTAGACGCTCGTGCTTGTAGCCGTTGCAGGCGCAGTGTCTTCAAAAGCAATCGCAACCGCATGGTGATAGTCAGCCACGTGCCAGAACGCGTATGATTGACAGGGGTGACTGCGGTGAAACAAAGTGTTTGCCTATCCAGGACAGATGTTCTCCGCAGTCCGCTCCGATGGTCTGAGTTGACATACAGCAGGAGGAAGCCATTAAGCAATACTTGGCTCCGAGATGAACTTCCCCTACTGTCCCGTGACCCTGTTGAATCTTCAAGCCTCCTTTACATCTCGCGTGTCTTTCTATAAGCTATCGGCCTGGCTCTGCTCAAACAAAGACGCTGCGAAGAAAACAAAGAGTATTGAACAAATGGAGTAGTGCTCACTTCCTTTGATGCAAAATTAAAGCTAATATCCCTTTGACATGCCATCCACGGATAACTTGTCAATTTCCTGTTCATGATGAATAGCCTGAATAAGCTACGCTTCGCAAGCCAACAGATTAATTAATGACATGGCGTAATATGTTTTAAGAACACTTGGCATTGAGATGCTGTTGGCTTTGTGAATGGTCTACCTCGATGCTGCCTCTTGAAATACGACCGCATTAACGAGCCTTTCTTCTGCTTATTGCTGCCATATTATTGCATCAGTGAAAGCAGTCACTGTGGCCTCATTAGGTTGG